CAGCGGCAGAGCAGAGTGGACAAATAATTATCCCAGAGTTGATGTGTTCGCAAGACTTCCAGCGGGATGATAAACGGTATTTATGAAAAAAATTATGTCATCCGGGTTCTTCTTGAGCGATTAACAACATATGCCGTCGTGAAATAAGGCAGGGGTCTTTAAATCGACGATCCAGTATCTACACATCCCAATCAGTCAAAACGTTGTGGAAACAACGCTGCACAACAATATTTAAACTAACGATGTCTTATAAATAAAGAGGAGAATCAGCCGTGCATGAGCGTAGCCGCTACGCTTCGGCGCTCCATCTGCCGTTTGTTCCTATTTTCCAAATGGACGACAGGAAGTTCAAGCTAATTTTAACTTCCGACACCGCGGTATAACATCCTTCTGTCCGATTAACCACATGGCCGTAGCTGTACGTGAGCTTGCCCCTGTACACATTCTTTGCTTATTGCCTTCTACTTTTCTTCGCTGTGAGCGTTTTAATTAGTTTGGGCTGTTACTCAGTTATACGACCAGCGTCTTACCAGCAATACCAATTTGGAAGGATAGAACCGCAACACCAACGAATATGCGATATTTCACTCTTCCAAAACACAAAGACTGCAAAAATGATGAACAGATTTCAAAACTAAAATGTATATATGTATTTGACAGACAACTCCGAGGACGAACGCTTACACTGTCATATTTAACTTGATAGGTTCCATTGGCACTGCTAGACCTCTACCCACCACGAGGGCAATGTTAGAGTTTTCACACATTCTGCGAAATTCTGGCTCAAACACTTGGAAACTGTGAACACAAATCGTCTTCTGAAAGTAAAATGACTTGTGTTTCACACTCTCATATTTATGTGCAGCGCGCATATTACGCCTATACACCTACATTAGATGAAATGCACAAATAAGTTTGATGTCCTCTATGGTAAGAAGTCTTATTGGTATACCTACAATTTACACGTCGATAGTCAACCATAAAAATGCACAAATCACATAGTGGCAATCTTAAGGCACTACAGGTGGTAGAACGTCATAATGATTGAAAGTTTATTGGCATACTCTAATTCCCTTTACCTATTTTCAGTGAGCTCGCAGATATTATTAAGAGCGACGTGCGGCCTCGCCGAGTTTCACGACGAAGGGGGGATCGGCTTTCGACGAAACACTGTAACCGTGAAATAATAAACGAATATCCTCGCCAGTAAGCTACGCTAATGTACGCTGTACTACAGGTTGTCCTAGCAGGCTGTCCCTAAACCCCTCAGAAGAGCACCGATCTGCCATAGTTATACCCGTTGCATTTTCAAATCACTATCCCGAAAGTTAATTGGACAATTGCTGTCAGCATCAAATACCGATGGACAACGTCGACGACAATTGCGTGTGATTTAAATTTGGGAGAAAAATGGCTTGAGAAAGTTTAAATATAAACAGATGACCAGAGTTTGATCCTGCCGCTCAGAAGCTATGACAATAAGGCAAATGTCTTACCTTCATAAAAGCTCAAGGAAAGATATGTGATAGTCAAAGTACCCCGGAGTCTCGTCATATCTCGACGAAAATCTAAACCGCTACGAAGTCCCGGCCTGGCACCCACATCGATAACTGCAATTTCCATAGACGCTAATGACAGAATTAGTATAAAGGCTAACACAGATGCGAATGGAAAGAAAAGGCGTAATAATTATTCACTAAATAAGGTAACTTAGGGTTAATAAAACGCATAAAGCGAATCCACGGCATCAAAAAACATTATGAAAGGACAAGGCATTGGACGAACCAATCACAAACGTAGTATGCACGCATACATCGCCTGAATAATTAGGCTGATTGCTCAAACTCTGACCAACTGTCTGGCGTGTGCGTGCACAAGCCCCCTGGCGTCTCAATTTTAAATGACACACAAGTGCCGCCGATGTTGCCTATAGGTCATCGATGATGGCAGAAGGCTCGCAATATGTTTGTCATTTTTAGGGAAGGTTTTGCCACTTCAAATCGATGAATTCTCACAAATTTCCAGGTGAGAACCCTAGTGCCATTAAATTTGCATTTTACAACCACAATCACTCGTGTGTACCGGCTGCAACAGGAAAGTATTTTCCTTCCTGATGGCTGGACTCAATAGTCTGTGCGGCAATGTGGGAGGTGATGCGCTTTCCAAAATAGTCCATCGCAGGAAGGGTTCCATTGTGATTACGATGTTCAAGACGGATAACAGCCACGAATCTGCATCCATCAAATCTCACTATGTTTACCAGATTGATCCAGGATTTGAGCTGACAGAATTCCACGCACTGAATTCGTCTTCACCAAAATAATGGCCGATCTCAGCAGACAGAGAGTGAATCCGACGGCTCAAGTAGATACTGCATTGAACATGTCAATCCCACGGTCTCGAGCGATGGGCTCCACCGTGTGACCCAGAGCATAGTGGCGCTGGGGAGATGACCTACGCATAAATTAGCTTTTAGTGATGGTGGACTTTCGTAGCATCCACCACACTCTCTCATTCATCATCCACCACAGCCCATTGTCATGACAGGGTAAACAAGGCCGGAGGCGAGGGGGAGAGAGCACAAGTTGCTTACGCAGCAAAAGCTTGCACCTTAGCGCGTGCCCTACACTTCCTGGTACTCCAAGTACAACTGAAGAGTGTTTTACACAAGAATAAAATGCGGGAGTGGCATTAAGAAGTAGCTATAGAAGACTGACTCCCCGTGCTCTGAGGAGGACTGAGTTGGTGGGCTTCCAAACCACGACTCTGAGCGCACGGCGGTAGATCCAGTGCGTGTCGTGTTGTTTACATTAAGGGATATGCGTTGATACCGTCGACATCGCCCTCTATCTCCACTCACCCAAGCACCAGTCTACTGTCGAAGCTGGTCAACCAACTCATGCTGAGACAGGGAGAGGTGTCTGACAGGGCTACAGAACCCGTCCGCGCGCGCGCAAAATACACGACCTTGTCACCCACACAAAACACCAAAATTTCATAGGAAAGGAGTGGGTTGCTCGAATCTTACATGTGTGAGAGTGACATGGGGGGCCACGCGAGCAAGGAGTCCAAGAACACGCTCCAACTAACGTGAAAGCTGCTACTTCCTGCATGTGTTGGGTAAAGTGGGACAGGTTCCGTTGTGATGTATGTGTTGGTGGAGAGATGCGAAATGATGGGGTTTGGTCTGCGGCGGTTTACTGCAGATTTTTATGGATACGCACGTGGCCGAGTTGGTTCATGAGGTAAATGCATGGTCTTTGGCAGCACAGATAGTAGAGGCAAATGTGGGGGAGTGTATGTTGGAGCTCCTGGCATTGGTGAGCCGGTCACAGTGCGATGGACTTGGAAGTAATCGACCGGGTCGATCGCGTGAGATGAATGTGCGATCGCAATGAGGATATGCTAGGACTGAGTCAACATCGATCGCGGAGTGGCGGTGATAATGAGGGTAGTGGTTGGCGAGACATCGGGAGTGGGACAGCTGTTAGACGTCCTCGTCGTCGTTGCGTTGTGGAGGGGATGATGGAGGTGAGGGTGGTCGATGATGTCGGCTGAGGCGTCGAGGCATGAGTAACATGATCATCGGTGTGGCGGTGGTCGTTGTCGTGGACGCCGAGGGGCTTGACGTAGGAGTGATGATGGGAGTTGTTGTGTAGGCAACAGTTTGAGTGTTTGATTGTTATAGAATTGGGTTTTGAGATATTCGCCGAGTCCCGTTAGAGCGCGGAATGTTTGTAAGCAGCGTGAAAATTTTGGAAATGCTTGCACTTTTAGGTTGTGTGTCGGAGAGGCTGAGGACTTGCGAGCAGTACTTCCGGCCCTGGCAGCGACGACGCGATTTGCTCCACAGATTTCTGATTATTCGCCACTGTTCTGCTCCAGACCGGCCGATCCTGAGTGGGGTCTTTTCAAGTCTTTTCGTTAACTTGCAGTCGTTTGGGACTGGTTTTCAAGGTGCACTTGTAGCGTCGATTTGTCTCCATTTTGGCAAACACACGTCACGAAATCCTCATGGGAAAGCCGCTTACACAGACGCTCGACATCCATCCGCAGGAGATCTCCGCACTCGCGCAGTTGCAGTTGCCTCAGCATGTCGTGAATGCTGAGGATCGGGGTTCGGCGGACTTTTTCTCGTAGATTATCCAAGTCGCCGCTTTACCGTACAGTGCTGTCAAAATGCAAGCCATGTCAATCCCAGGCTTGGGTGCGTAGAAGCCTCATGGACTGGCTTCCGGGGCGGTCATTACGAGTAGCATCTATCAGCATGCCAAGGGACATGAGGCATCGAATCCCAGTGCGTTCACACTGACGAGCGCTTGTGCGGCTTAATTGTTTCCGGAAGGGGAGGCGGAAGATCTAGGTGGTTGTTCGCCTCCACCTAAGAGAGGTGATCGGTGCCGGCGTCGGAGATCACGAATGAGCAGTTGAGGACGCTTCTGGAGTGCTCAACCCTCCGCTTCAGAATCTTTGCTTTCTCCGTGGGATTTGATGTCCCGTCGGACCTGTGAAGCGGAGCGACTCCATTGGCTGTGGGATCGTAAACCGCCTTGATTGACACCAAAAAGTTCCTTGTTTCATTGCGGTCCTCATATCTCTGGAGTTATCGGGTCTTGTGAGCCATCCAGTTGTTTTGCACCTTCCACAGTCGTTGCTGCACGAGGCCGCGACATCTGAAGAAGGTCACTTTGTATGCATCGCTCTGACAGTTGATTTTGGCTTTGGACAGTCTATTCTTCTCTGTAAGCATGTTGCCGATTTCAGCATTGTCGTAGATCCAATCCTGGCGTCGACGGCGGGCGCAACCGAGGACGTCCGCGACAGTAGAATGGGCAGCATCCCGCAGTTGACATCACCGATTCTCCACGGTGATGTTTTCATCTGCAGTTTGTAGGTCATCTGGTCGCTGGGTCAGTTGACTTTTGAGGTAAATGCAGCGAGCAGGCAAATTCAGTAGGACGACATTTAACTTACCTGGTGGTCACTTACCTTGTAATCCCCTACGAGGTTGCAGTCGGAGCCTCATTCAGGAGATGATAGGGAGATGGTAGGTCCAGTCGTTGATGTCGCAGATTGTCCTCGTCACCGTCACATCCTGTCCATCTCACTTCTGGACGAAAAAGTAGTCCAGCAGTTGTCAGAACCACCATCGGTGGTGCATCCATTTCGCCTTCTTCTGCATTGGAGGGCAGGAAACTGTGTTGTCCGTGAGGAAAATAGAAGAAGCTGAAGAAGAAGAGGAGGAGGAAGAAGAAGAAGAAGAAGAAGAAGAAGAAGAAGAAGATGATGATGATGATGATGATGATGATGAAAGGGCGATAAAGAACAGGAAGATGAAGAAGAAGAAAAAATGACATGGGATTTAGTCATGCGGCATGCAGGACAATCGTCCTACGATGTCGTCCCGGATGGAAAAGTCGACGCTAGCGTCGTTCTCTCTTTGAACGGCCGCCCGAGAAGAATGTGTAGCCGGCACCCATCTCCCCCTGTTGGCCTTGTGCGAAGAAACGGGTCACCTTAGGGCGCATTAGTTCTCGAGCGGATGAATCCATCCTCCCTTCTGACTGGTTGCTCCGCGAAAGGTCTAAAAAGTAACGAACATCCCAGGCTGCCAGGGTGAGCGGACCGGCCCTAGCGGCTTGTGGGGTGGGAGAGAACTGAGATCGCTGTTATTTGTTGTGCCCTTTCGGCCGTGATTTGTACACCTGCGGACACGGTCGGTATGCACATAGCGTGATTTCCCGGCATTTGTTTAGGATATATTTTCTAACACCTTTTCCGCGAAGAGATAAGCAGTGTTGTCCCGAAATAGGGCTGCTTAGACATTACAGACGACTGCCGAACTCTGCTATGGGTCACGGCTTGGTTTAGTTGGAGGGTGATCTGAATCATCCTGAACCGCCGATGGTGTTGCATGTAACCCTCTCCGTAGGACTCTTTGGAGTGGAATAGGGAGAGAGACGAAGGAAGTAGGGAGGGATTGTAGGGGAGGGAGGGTAGAATGATGGCAATGGAGGCAAAATTGTCGGGTCTGGGACACACACAACACTGGGTTCCTTCATCGCTTCTAGCCCAGCGGTTGGTGCGGCTACCTAGATGTGGCCGCTAGGCAATGCCTAACTTCGTGGCGCCACAGATGCGAGTTGTGTGCTACGAGGATCAGTCGGCGTTTGATTGATGCCCCCTGTTACCCCTGCCCGGTTGCCACGTAACTGGACACCTTTACACCCCAGATGAGGTGATAGTGATTTGAACACTGGGATATTCCTCTTCAAGCAATTCAAGACATTTGTCTGAACAGTAAACCCGATGTGCATAAACCTATCACGGCGCGCGAGAAGTTGTGCCTTGGAATCTTACCAGTTGACCAAATAACTCTGACCTCCTTTTACCGGCGGACTAAACTATAATGGCTCCTTCCTACTGTTGCCTTAATGCGAGTTGCGATAACCTCCTTTTATTAGAAGTCTAGTTGATTTGGGACTAATAACCACATCGTTTGTTACAAACGTCGACTATCTATTTGACTTTGTCGTTCGCTGCGCCCACTCCAATCACCAGCAGCCATAACTTTATTCGCCTGCAGAACAAGGCGGTATTGGGCGTACGGCTCATGTTGCGTTAATCCAGGTCACCATAGAATAGTGCGAATGCTGGCCATTATTGCATTTGGCGGGTCTCGTCGCTTGCGTCGATCGAGCATTCATGTGTATTTAGGAACCCACTGCCTACCCGCTCGGAGAACAGTAGGCTATAATAAAAGTGGACGCAACCGATCCTGACCGGTTAACCACGAATGAGGAGATTTTCACTAGTAGCAGACAAGATAAAACCATCAGTATTATCCGGCCTGGAATATGCATGGCAACCTACATGCTCTCATAACCTGCAGACGAGAAAGAAAGACACTCTCATTGCCTGCAAACGCGTCAGACACATAACAGACTATAATGCCGTCCGCGAGTTGGGCTTGCTGACGGAACGACAATTTGATGAGTTTCAGGTCGCGTACATTATTTAATTGTGGAATGGCCGTCTAATCAAGTACAAACGTCTAACAATAGGGGGTTTCGTCACGAGGACCAAGATCTTCACAACTCCAGCAGCTGTTACAGAAGGCGTCAAAAATGGGTTGACCAAACTGTGATTGGCATTCTTCGAAACGACTTTCTTTACGGTAAACTTCTGTGTACCTATGTCGGCTAGTCGTTAGAATCTGAAGGACAGGTTTCAAAGGGCATCTGCATTCCATTACAGTATTTCTGCTGAAGTCGGACAAAGTCGCCAGTTCCCGAGATTTCGATGACCCTGCCAATGGAAGTCCTGTAACCTGACGTGACGGTGGTCGACCTTCATGATATCTGCAAATGTGGTGATAACGGACTTTGTCTAATTATGAACGTCTCGGAACACAACGTCATTCTGTAACTCATTATCGTCGTCTTATTCCTTCCCAACCAAATTAGGAGATAATGGGCATTCGGTATTTCATGTAACTGGTACACATTATCGTCGTGATCGTAAAGAAGACAGGGACCGGAATATGCTAGTGATAAATATAATTGTTCATATTGACCCAACTGTGAAAAAGTCGGCGCCTCGGTGGGATTTGAATCCACGCAGTAAGCGGAAGGCTTTAGTACAGCCAACACTCTAACCGGGCCAATATGAATTATTCCAATTTTGCCAAAACATCTATGAATCACGTGAGTCTGGTAGCCATCTGGTGGATTCTAGGTGAATTACATAGGAAATCCCGCTTAGGCAGTCAACTTACCGTATCAGATTTGGTGGATTCTAGACGTTGCAGTAGGTTGGGCGGGTAACTTGACCCAGATGTGACTAAACTCGCCTCGTCCGGCGGGGCCTCATAGCTCAAGCGGTTAGAGCGTTGGTTGTACTAAAGCCTTCTCCTTATTGCGCGGGTTCGAATTCCATTGAGGCGCCGAGTTTTTCACAGTTGGGTCAATATGAATTATTCAAAAATCTGCCAAAACATGTATGAAATATGATTGTCACAGTCGAGTCTTCCACTGACCATCTCCCCTGAAACGGTGTGTCCAATCTCATAGACGGCTTCAGAAGCCTGAGATAATAAGTGGCTGAACGGTCTACCATGTTACAAAACAGGGCTTATGTTGCGGCCTACTTCGATTCTGCAAAATATGCCCGGCCAATAACCAGACGAGGAGAATGAACTATTGATAATTATTGGAGTACCTCGTATGGTGTGATCTGCCACGATGCTTTGGAAGTATTTTTATTTAAACGATGACAACGCTGACTAGTGAGCATAATATCCTCTCTCAAAGAATAAGAAACTATGTCTAACTTACGTAGGAAACAGGTCACATTCAAACACTGTCCCGTTGATCAGGCGGTGACAAAAGCTACAGACGAAGGTCTGAGAGGTACGAAATGCAAGCCTGAATTACGAAAATCAAGAGAGATCATAATAAGAGCTACATGAGGGAGTTCAGATCATCAAGGTGGTAGATGATTCAGCACGGAACGGAATTTCACTACTCCCTAGCTTACCTGAAACAGTATTCCTGTCGAAAAACCCGAGGGATTCCGGACAACCGGTTGAGTATTTTTAAAGCGTTACCATTTGTTCATACTCGAGTTAGCAACAGGCAGTCAGCAGCCTAAGGCAAGCCGCGATAATGGCTGATTTCAACCTACCGCCAGTTGTATGAGAGTCAGTCAAAACAGTTGGACGCATCCCAAATTAAAATACTTCATTTACCGATTCGATTGCCACCGAGACCACCAAACACGGAGGTAGTCAGCTCCTCGAAAAACGAACTCGTGTGGTCCAGGACACTTTAAGACGCAGGCCAGTGAGAGAATGAGGGTCGGGGGACTTCAGGGGCCTCGCCATCTTTCGCGCAAAGGAAATGACGAAAGCCGAAATAGTACCGGGAATTTTTAACGTCAGAATTCGTCTCCACCCGTTATGTTTACGTTTGATTTGGATTTTCGAGGGCATTTTTTATTTTGGTGCAACTTAAATCCAAAATTTTCTGTGATTTTAGGCTATAAATCAAATGATTCGATTGTTTTCTTGAATGTATGACTGAAACCTTCATCTCTAGTCGTGTGTGTGCATGCTAACAGTTACACACTACCATCCAGTCATATTCCAGGATGCCCAGAACTCCGAAAATTGAAACCATGGTTCATACTTCGTAGGTTAGAGCTGCCAGAATAGATAAGGAGGCTTTAAACCTCAACAGCTGAAGCTGATAGATTTAGTGACGTGATCAGCTTGAGTCCAAGATTTCCCACTGGATAGCAGCGCAGTAAAATTAGTTAAGCACAATCTTACTCCTTCCAACCAAACATACATGCTGGATTTCGTGTCTTTACCTTTGCCTGGGAAAAAAGTGTATTGGTGATAACACATAAAATAAAAAATAAAAGTCAACTTTTGGGTAACCACGCGTACTAATGTGAATTCCCTCTGCCGACAGGGAAACTGCATCTTGTTCCCGACAGTAACGTCCGGTTATATGACTGTCACAAGTAAGTACGTACGCCAGACTGCTCCACCAATGTGTAAACCTTTTTCATCTTTTACTGCTTAGGAAGGTGCGGTAGATGGTTGTTTCCTAGATGTCAGAATGTTTAACGGCCTGTGGAGGAAAGAATCGCCAGTTGTTCATTTCCCATTAGAATGCCTGTCAGCCAGGGCTTATATTAAATGTTCAGAAGTGTGCCCCCTGCGGCGTGGACTTTTTTAAAACTCAAAGTAGTACAGATAAACGAAAAATGCGCTAATTACTGAATAGCATTCGCGTCCTCATTCAAAGTTGCCCCAATCTCACCTCATCGGCGAGGTTGCCATCAGGATAAAGTTATTCGGACTTCAATGCTGTCGACAGGAATTTGGGATAAATTTTACCAGATTTACCTGGAAACGCTGTGGGCCCAATCGTGCCTCAGACTTTGCCCACCGGCTGGCTGCCATGTCGCGTACTATACAAGACCAAAATTGTCATCAGTTCAGACGAATACCAGATGGACGACTTAGGACAACTGGCCAGTCACGAGGGTCAACGTAACAGTAATTTAATGTAGAAATGAAGTCTGCGAACGTTCTCAGGAAAACACATCATAAGAATAGTTTACAGACGTTGTTTCTTTGGCCAAACCAGCAAAGAATATTTGTACGGTCAACCGAGATTAACCTAGTGGATTGATTTTGTTCCCTATTAGCGTGGGTGGACACATTCCAAAGTTTATTTCTGGCTTACTCAAGAAAAACTGAAATATTTAAGTACACACAGAAGGATCCTATCAGTCCACCCCTGTAACATCCCATGTTATTTGCAAAAGCCAGGCAATCGATGAA